GAAAGGAGTGACTGTAAGATCAGCAGAGGAATCCAAGGGATTTGGAGAGCTAGTCCTGATTACATTAACTGGAAGATGAACAGTAAGGGTCTCTTAGGTGTCTTAGGTGACTGCGCGTATCTCAAGACACAGTCTTTGTAGGGGTTTTCCCTTTTTTTTTTTTTTTCCCTCTGAGAAGTAAACAAACCAGTTATCCTGGTATCAGTCACCTTGCTAAGAATTCACAGATCCTCAATACTCTAAGCTACTTCTTAAATCTTAAAAACAAACTAAAGGCAGCACAGCATACCCAGGCAGAGCCATAATCCAGGACGGCATTTTTATCTAGCAAGTTATTTTTTATTAGCCTTCTATTTCTTAATAGAGATCCCTCGAGGGTTGGGTTGTAGAGAATTCACTGGTATACCAGTTCAGCTTCCCTACAACTGACTTAATATACGTGGCATTTGCCCTCTGACGAACATTATATCACCCATCTGGGCCAGAGGAGCAGGAGTCAGAGCAGGGAAACGTGGCTCAAACATCATGCTTGCATGATGATTAGGTCTGGTCCAGTGATCCGGAATAATAATCTGAAGGCTCACTAAGCATAATGGGTTAGGAGACATTCGAGCCTGGTCAGACCTTCCCATGAGCATCCTTTACGTGTGTAATCAGTGTGTTTTGCATGGCTCATCGGTGTCACGGTAGCTGACATCTCATTATGCAGACAAGGTGGAAATGGACAGGTACTGAGTGAGCATTAGAACTTTTCTTTTCCCTTTTATTATTTAATTCATATCTTCCCATTATCCAGTGTATCGTGAAACTGAACTAATTAAGTCCTGTGGGAAATACAATCAGTGTTGGATTTTTTTTTTTCTATTTTTTTTCCCCCACCTCTCCTTTCGGTAGGCTAAATTGCATTATATACCGACATAAAAATAATTCTGCAACTCTTCCTTAGACAATAATGGAGCGAGTTACAAACACTAATGATGCCGAATGCAACAGTGGGGCAGAGGCCTGCTGCTTGCTTTGTGTAACCTAGTTAAGTCATGCAGGGTAAAATATTTCAACCACAAAGTGAGGCAAGCGCCTAAATCAGTTTCTAAAGAAATCCATAAAAGCACAGACCAGACCCCAGAAAAAGTCCACGTTGGTGAACTCAAATTTCATGAAGTCTGCCATGCAACTCGCAGATCTTCCGCCAGCAACTTGAAACTCCCCAAAATTTTGAGGGTCCTCTAGATTTAGAGCTGAGCCCAGCTCAGACTGTAACCATGCAAGCCACAGCTCTGAAGCCCAATTTGAAGCAACAAAACTAAAGTGATTAATATTGCATTGCTTCCCAGAAAATAGTCACTTTCCCTGGCTGAGGATCCTGCCCAAAAATTTTCAAAAGGGTTCAACCTGGACCATAAATTCAAGTGACTGACTCAAGGGAGCAGCATGCACAACATTTACAGGACAGTCAGCATTTTCAAAAAAATAACCTCCTAATTTTCAGTGATAGCTACAGCCTATTTTTCAAGCAAAGCTAGCTGAAATTAGAGGTGGAAGAGCTCTCTTCCCTGCAGAATTAAGCTTAGCTATCTCATGCAAATTAAGGTATCTAAGTTAAGCTTAATTTTCATTAAAAGAGATTTTTATATGTATTTATCAGGGGAAAAGGGAGTTAAAGAAATGGGAGAAAAAAAATGCACCTGTGAGGAGTTTGTAGCTAGGTAAAATGGTCTTCTAGTACTTGGAGTTTCTGTATATCTAAGACAATAAAAGAAGTTCAAAAGACAGCCAACTCCAACTCACTGAGAAAGTGCTTGTGGTGTTTGCTAATCTCATGAGATAATTTTGATGTCCCTCGTTTACACATGCACTTGCAATTCAAACAGACAGTGAGGGAAAATCATGGGAATGTACATAATACATTCCGGATGTGACAAGAAAAGTGGAGGAATGGGTCTGGAAACATGTTATTCAAAATTCAGCTAGCACATCTGAGGTCTGATTCCTAGATGAGTTGCAATAGTCATTTAATGCAATATTTAGTAAAGTTGACATAGATCCAGGGTGAATTTGCTGTCTGGATACTGTCCTGCAGAATCAGGCAAGAGAAAAATGGACTGTTTCCAGTGCAAGGCTCATACTTGGTCAAAGAAGGCAGGTTGAGCTGATGGACATGTCTCTGCCATTCACTGTACACCAGGATCCTTATGCATGGATTCGCCTTCCATGTCACTAGGTTGTATCTGGGAGCTATTGGTAACAGGGCTGCAAAAAGCATCATAGAAACAAAGACCTAGAAGAGATCACCACACCAAGAGAGTCCAGTTTCCTGCTACTGGGGGTATCATGTCACCCAGCCTCTCCCACACAACCACCATGCTCATTCCCAGGCATCTCTGGAGCCTTCTGCCCAGCATTCTGCCACCAGGAGACTGCTGCAAAACCTTGTCACGTTCACAGTCAACATTTGTCTCATTTCCAGCCTACCAAATCCCAACAAATCCCATTAATCTCTTCCTTATTTCTTTAAGAATTATGGATGGGTCCTATTACGTGTGTTATAAGAAAAACTGAGCTCACCCTCAAGCTTGTATCCCTTAGACTCAAGTTCCTAGAACCAGTCTTTTAATTTTTTTTATTATTATTTTCTGCTCTGAATCGAGGTTGCACTCTCTTCTTGCCAATGCTCATTCATGCCATGCTCTTGACAAGCCTCTGTCAGCCTTTCTGCAATGCCTCTTTTTACTTCCAATGCCATTCTGGAGCTAATCCTGCTCCATCATCATCATCTAATCGTCTCCACCCCAACCTTCCCATGATGCCCAGCTGTGCTAAGGCATTGCTGAGTTATCAGCCTGCCTGGGCATCATTCGGCTGGCAGGATAGTAAGCAGAAAATGAAACACTGAACAGTGTAGCTATGCTGAAAACAGCTACGGATCAGGCTCATTTTTTTTATGAAGTGCTTTGAGATCCTTGCATGAGAGTGCGATAGAAGTGCCAGATGTTATTATAAAGAGATGCAGTCCCATTGCTCGTGCACAGAGTTGTGCTGCCTGCTAATAGCACCATTATCCTAGGGCACGTGGTGCTATTAATGCATTTCACTGCTTGGTGCTGAACCTGGGGACCATTATTTCCATTGGAAAGGTAAGGCCAGTTCACATGACATGATTTAAACCTCTACAGTGAAGCATGTATATGCTGCACCAGGTCGTAAATCTTAACGGGATGCTGTCAGCTAGAAAGGGACCAAAATTGAAACCATTTATCTGAATTCCCCACCCATCCACCTCTGCTCACCCAGGCCAGTTTTGGGAAGAGGGATAAAATGATTCCAAATGCCCGCTGGGTTCATTAAGCAGCAGCAAATCCCAGATCTAAAAGCGCTGCTGGCTTCGTCCTGCTCTCCCTGAATGAATTCGTTCATTCAGGACACTTAGGACTTCCTTGATTTTCCCCATGCTAAGTAGAAATACCATAGCAGGGACAAATCTCGCTACGTCTTCCTGTTCTTGCCCCGACCTGAGTCAAAAGACCACCTGTCATCATCTCGTTACTGAGACTATAGGACCCATAAGCTCTTCAGATCACAGCCAGCACTAGGTAACAGCTCCTCTACGCTGCAGCCTGAGCTTTAGGGTGGTAGAGATGCTCTTATCACATTTGGGAAGGAAAATATGAATGAAAGGAGTAGTTACCATTTGACCTAATACTTGCCTGAGCACTTCCCTTTGCTGCCCTCCTGCAGTTACCAATTTTTTTTTTTTTTCTACTTGGTTTTCTCCTTAGCTGGGCATGTTTCTCACAGCGTAACTAGCGAGGCTGACTAGCAAACGAACGCTAATAGGTAAAAAGCTATAGGTGACGTTCCTTCACAGACCAAGGACAGACTTAAAACAACAGAATGAAAGAAAGCAATTGTATTTTAGGATACTCAGATGCAATAGTAACGTATATGTAAAGCAAATTTGCAGGAAAAATATTCAGAGACCCTTGGCTTAGGAAAAGATCTAGAATCTGATGCTAGAAACACATCAAAGTTATTCTGCCGGGACACCGCAGTTACTTCAGGGGTGGGTTGGTGGAAATTTCATTGCTGATAGCAGAGTTTACAATTACCATGGTAGCTTTAATACCAATCCTGAGCAAACGAACTTCAATTTCCTAGGTCTCAATCATCCTAAGAAGACTGCATGATAATTTGATTTAAATAAAACCCAGCATTTGTTCTGATAAGTCAGGTGTGTAACTCTTCCCACGTGCACTGTCCTGTATGTGGTAAGTCTCTGCCACTTCTCAGGAACTGCTCAATTAGGAAAGGATGATGACAAAGCAACATTTGATGTCCACCAAATATCCAGCCTCTCTGAATTCCTTCTCACAGGTGACACAACCCAGTACTTCAGCTCAACACCCTCAAAAACTCTGCAGCACCCCGAGGACTCTAAAAGGACGTTTTAGGTTTGCAATGAACATATTTAGATATACAGCCTTACAATGACATTAGTTCAGAGTCATAATTTTTGTAATGAACACTTTGTGGATGTATACCCACACATAGCACTGGAAAGACTGTCTCATCTTACTTTAGACACTGAAGAGGAGCAAAAAAAACAAATATAACCAGAGCTGCACAAATACTGAATGCTAAGTCTCTGCCAGAGAGCTGAAATTCTGTATCTCACGACTGAGATTTCTGCTCAAGTAACAGAAAACAACACTCTTAGAACAGAATTTGTCTTTATATAGAAGAGGAGACTGTTAAAAAGATACACACTGCCCAGAAAATAATGTAAAGCTCATTTATGTCTCAAAATACATGATTAACCATAGTTAACCATTAATTCAGCTGCACTGCATTAGAACTGCTATTCGAAGTTGGAAAACATTTAATATTATATATTGCCACTGCTCAGCCTAAATTGTTTTTTTCTCCCCCCTTTAAATGTACACAATATTACAAATTTAATTTTAAGCTGTTTGAATCAGTCTGTAAAAAAGATTTGATTATACCTGAGTGTTCTGGCCCCAGTTTTTCCATATCTCAGTAATCTTGGCGGTAATTGGCTGATTAGCTCCCTCACACTCCATCTCTGCCTCAGTTTCCATGGTAATGTTACAGGAGCTATTATAGATGAGAACTTCATCTCTTTCCACTTTAGGGCTGAAACGAGAAGGGAGGTTAAATGGGGTGTCATCAATCTTAATGAAATGCAATTATTTTTACTCTTATTAATCATTGCAAGCCATTAGCTTGTGGCAACTCCTGGCCACCATTTGTCAAACTTTGCAAATTTCTGTAATTTTGTTTCCATTCTTTTATTGTTTATTTGTTTTTTCCCCCCTTTATCTGCACACGCTTAGGATGAAAATACACGCAGTAAATATCTCTCAGTGATGCCTTTCTGCTTCCCCAAACTATTACAAATAGTAGCAAATAGCATTCTAGGACCAAGGCAGGAAGATAAGTGCAGACAACAGCTAGGAAATCAGCAGTGTTAGGATCAAAGATGGACTCCCACATGGAGTAGGGTTTGTTCCTGTCTCCCCCCTCCCCGTCTTACTCACACTTAGCAATAGGGAATGAATAACTTGCAACTCCCCTAGGGCAAGTGGAGAAATTGGAAAAACCACACAACTGGCTAACTGGTCCCTAATTCCAACTGTGAAAAAATGAGCTCATTTAGGGGTTCCAATTCCTGCTACCCAGCTGATTGCAATGATGCTTTGTTGCTAGCATTGGAACATTAACTTAGTAAATTAATTAAACTTACTTAACAGCCCAGACTAAGCAGATTCGATATATGTGCCAGTTATACTAACAGACATTTGCTCTAAAGCCTCCACTTGCATAGGGGGAAGAAGTAACAGAAAAGGTGATGGGGAAGAAACATTTTTTTCCTTGGTCTTGCTGCTGATAGCTGCTGAATTTGGTAACATTTTGTTATGGGGAGCTATAGGATCCAGCATCTCTCAAAATGAGGGGAAAACTTCCCAATTTACTACTACAGGCTTTGGATCAGGCCAGGATAATCCAATGTCACTTTTCATTCCTTCCCCAGCCATCGCTCCTTCTTCCTCCTCTCCCCACTCTACCATCACATAGACACCTGCAACTTTGGGAAGGAGAGCAGAAAGGAGATAAATTATAGCAACATCGCTCAGAAATTATATCACTTTTCCAAATAGCTAAGGATGGACAGAGTACACAAAATAGAGGATCAGATAAGTAGGACCAGGATTTTCAGAGGTCTTCAAGTTCCTGAAAGCCCCATCTAACAGGATTTTCTAAAGTGCCAAAGTTAGGAGTGTTAAGTTCTACCAAAATCAACCCAATCAGAAAGCCAATACTCAGAGCTTTCTCGGGAGAGTGACGATCAGGATGATCTGATGACCCTAAAGTTTTCAAACCATACTGGATGTGGCAGCTCACTGTACAAACAAAGAGCTGTTCTGTTAGTGCATTTAGGGGGTATTTGTTTGGTTGCCCTTTTTCAAGGTTAAAGTGTTAAAGGAAGCAGCCACATTAGAAACCAAAAAAAAAAAAAAAAGCCTTCTGCAAGTAGTTGAATGTTTTTAACTGTGAATTTTTATTTCTATATTTAAATGAACCTTTCCCTCTGCTGTATCAATAATCAAAAGCCAGCCATAGGGAATTACACTCACTTTTGACATCAACACTTTGAGAACTGCTCTTGTCCTGAAGAATAATTCCACGGACAGGGCTACCCTTCAAGACTGCATAGTACTTTTTAATGTTACAAGAAAAAGCTCTCTCTTTTAAATAACCAACTGTTTTAAAAGCAGAAAAGTTGTTGTTGGCTAGAAGCAGGACATGGACCCAATTTGCCAGGCGCTGAAGTAAATGTAAGGACCTCTGAAGGGCTGTTTACGTCTTTTTACAAAAAGTTAACAAGTTTTTTCTGTAGGCAAAGAGCCAATTCCTCCCTGTCCTCTAGTAACTGCATCCTGAAACCTTGATGCTGGAAAACCGTTAACAAATTGCAGTGTTTAAAGGAAATGCAAGAAAAGGAGGAGTGACTTGATAAAGGGAATTCAGGGAGGAACATGCATTTGCCATTATGTGTTCATAAAGTGCAGGCTAAAGTACAGACTAGATTAGGAGAAGCTTTATTCAAACCACTGTAAAACTAGTAAGAAAGAACAAGAGAGATTTAATGTGCAGTTAAGCCAGGAATTATTTCAGTAGCTTTGTCCCCATCCTGAGACAAATGTCTTAAGTCTTGAACATTTGCATAGAACTCAAATTCATATATTTTTTATTATTGTTATTATTAGTTACTATTATTACAGCAATCAATGTGTATTATATTCAGGAATTCCCAAAATAGTTCTTTTCCAGTTTGAACATTTTAATTTTCTAACACTTCGCTACAAATTCCATTAATATTTTGAAATTAAACATTTATATGAACTGAAATTAAAAAAAAAATGTTTTCAAAAGATCTGAAATACGTAATTTGAATGCCTTTAAACTCTTTCTTCCTCTACTTCTCCCTAGATTTTTCAGATCAGGAAATTCACCTGAAATCAAACAATCTTCTTTGCCCCAGCTCCCCTTCAGCAAGACCCAGTTTAGAAACAGATTGACCAGAAAAAAACGTCAGTGCTCTGGAAAATTCCTCAGCAGTCCAACTTTTAATTTCTAACTACTAGATGAGCATGAGCACCATAGAGGGAAAAGTTAATGACAATAACAAAGAGGTTGAAGAAGTAAGAAGAATGGGAAAATAGTAGGTAAGAAAAACATTGACTGATTTGATTCAGAAATATCTCCCTGATAGGATTCCCTGAAGGAATAATAAACCCTGTCTCTGGGACATTCATAATTAAATTGAATGAAACCACATGAAAAACACTAAGGAAGCAGTCAGCAAACGGACTGTATGACTTTTCCGTCCACAGGATAAGCACAGGCTCAGAGTCCCTCCCCGCTCGCCCTGCTGAGACCGGGATGGAGAAGCTATGGCAGCAGAAATGTAGTGCCCCAAACCAAGAAAAGAAGCAAGAAAGACAATCATAGGAACAGACTCATTGCAGATGCATTTTTATCAGGAAAGAGCTGAGGGTGATTTTGATATCCAGGGAACAGGAAGAAAAAAAAAAAAAACAACAACAAAGAAGCAGATGTTGGGTTGCTCTCAAGTTTGTAGGTTACCTGGTTTGGGGTTACACTGATGTGAGCAAAAGGAAAGCAAAGCCCAGCTAGATAAGGCAGGGCTCCTGGAGTTTCTTGTTTTGAATCAAATCATTCTGGGAGCAATAAAAGTGGTGTAACTAGTTTAATTTCACAATTTTTTTTTTTTTTCCCTCTAAGCCTCCCTCTTCTTGTCTCTCCCAACAAAACTGTCCTCCCCATCTCCTAGGATGTCATAGAGCATTACCAATGCACAATGTGACTTTGGACATGCCAGTTGGCCAGCTGTACATATCTGCTCTCTGGCCTGCGGTTTGCTGGCAGACAACAGATTAGGGCAGAATTCTGCCTTCCCCTCTCCCTCAACAGGAAACTAATTTCTTTCCGCCTGACACAGATTTTCTCAAAACTGAGAAGAATTTCATAATTCTTAAGACATCCATCCCTTATGAAACCCAGGTCAAATTAATCAGAGCTCAAAAGCCGGTGGGGAGGAAATGACAGACTGACAAGTAGATGCTGTAACTACGTACACCTTTTTTTTTAACTTTTTTAAAAAAAAAAATAAATAAAAAAAACGTGCAACTCATGTCTCGCTGTCTTGGTTCAGTAAATGCCAGTTGGTTTTCTTCCCTCAACTCAGGGCATCCGGAACTCCCTCTGGTGAGTCACAACACCAGCTGTGACACAAGGGCACAAGGACCAGATAAGAATGAGGACCAAACCTCTGCAACTCCATTGAAGTACTTGGACATGGGCTCATCATGTACAGGAAATCACAGGCAATGCACTGCAGTGATATCCTAATTCTCTATTTGTTTAATGTCTTCTGGAAAGTTTTCTTCATCTGTTTATACCTTAATTTAGACCTCTCTCTTACTCCCGGGAGTAAACGCTCTGCAGGTGTAAATTCCCACCACTCCATTAAAGACAACAGTAATAATTTATATTCCTGGGCAACTTGGTCTTGAATTTGCAAAGCCTGAGCACCCTTGCTTAGTAAATATTGCACAGCCTGCTGAATTTTCTCTGTGACTTTTTAGTCGTGAAACTGCTTGGAGAGAGGAGGGGGAGGGG